GTTTGACGTTTGGCATCATCGGTTCAGATTTGAGTACGAGGGGTGGAAGTTTGGGGGGAGGGTCTGGGGAGGTTTGGGGACCCCACAAAGGGGGTCGATGGCATCAGCATAACCCCAACCAAAAGCACCAGCACTGAAATGTTTGGCACAGAAATAGGTGGCGGAATCCTCGTCCCTGAGGTTGTTCATCTGCAGCGTCACCGAGCTCTGCCCGTTGTCCCTGGCGATGCTGAACCGGCCCTGCACCGACGGCGCGTATCTGGTGGCAGCACCATCATTCCTGATCGAAGCGACCCATTCCAGCCCCTTCCCGGGGCTCTGGTGAACCCAGAACATGGTGTGGCTGCCGAAGGTGAAGCCGGAGGGGCGGCAGAGGAGCCACAGGGGCTGAACGGGGCAGAGATTGGGGGTCAATGGTTGAGATTTGGGGTCACTGGTTGGGATTTGGGGTCAATGGTTACAATTTGGGGTCAATGGTTACAATTTGGGGTCAGTGTCTGAACTTTCTGCACCAAAGATTATGGTGGTCGTTGGGTTGAAGGTGGTGGTATCAACCCCCTTTGTGGGGTCCCCAAACTTCCCCAGACCCTCCCCCCAAAGCTCCGCCCCTTCACACCCAGCTCTCGCTCGTTGGTCCTGATTTTGGGCTGGTTTGGCCCCAAATTCCCCGCCTTTCACCCCAAACCCCAACTCTTTGCCCTAAATCTCAACCCTTGACCCCAAATCTCAACCCTTGACCCAAAATCTCAACCCTTGACCCCAAACCTCAACCCTTGACCCCAAACTCTGCAAAAGGTAAAGGTTGGGGTCCATGGCTGGTATTTTGGGTCAATGGAAGGCATTTGGGGTCAACGTTTGACGTTTGGCATTGATGGTTCAGATTTCGGTGCGAGGGGCGGAGCTTTGGGGGGAGGTTCTGGGGAGGTTTGGGGACCCCACACAGGGGGTCGATGCCATCAACAGTACCAGCATCAGCATTAACATATTTGGCACAGAAATAGGTGGCGGAATCCTCGTCCCTGAGGTTGTTCATCTGCAGCGTCACCGAGCTCTGCCCGTTGTCCCTGGCGATGCTGAACCGGCCCTTCACCGACGGCGCGTAGCTGGTGGTACCACCACTATTGCTGATCCCAGCGACCCATTCCAGCCCCTTCCCGGGGCTCTGGCGCACCCAGTACATGGTGTGGCTGCCCAAGGTGGTCGTTGGTCCCAACCCTGGGCCTGGTTTGGCCCCAAATTCCCCACCTTTGGCCCCAAACCCCAACTCTTTGTCCCAAATCTCTGCCCTTGACCCCAAAGATCAGTCACTGACCCCAAATCTCAACCATTGACCCCAAATGTCAACCATTGACCCCAAATCCCAACCATTGACCCCAAATCCCAACCATTG